ATTTATTTATTTATTTATTTATTTATTTGAACTTCTCAGACTCTGCCATGTTTGGTTCGAATGTGTAGTAAGGAAAGACTGCTGGAGGAGCGAGTAGAAGGAGCAGAAACACTGGCTTATTTGATTGAAACAGATGTGGAACTCCAGAGGATTGCCAGCATTACCGACCACCTCATTGTCATGCTTGCTGACTACTTCAAGTATCCCAGCTCAGTGAGTGCAATCGCTGATATCAAGAGGGTACGTTTCCTTACCTGGTTCTGAAGCTTTGAGAAATGTGCAAAACCAATAACAAATGGGCTCAGGATATTTATTTTTTTATTCAGTTTAAACTTTATGGCTGAGTTTCTCACTAGAAAGATGTCCAAATGATTCCTGATGCATATAGTCTCCAAGTGTTGGCTGGCTCACTGCTTTTTCTGGAGCCTGTATTGTCCAAACTAAAACTGTTGTGTATATCTGGACTCCCCCATCCTGTTAAAAGAATGCTGCCATTTTGTGTCAAAGATAGAGAGGTGAGATACGGGCATTTTAATATATCTTCACCATATGAGTTTCATTACATTTTCCACAGAGAGCAATGAAGTACCAGATGGAGACATCTGTCACGTTTCTCCAGTGCAGAGTTTAAAATATTTACTTTCAGGAATCAGTACATTTCAGCTTCATAAGAGATAACAGTCCATGTGATGAGAGATTGATTTCAATTCTTGAGTCAGGTTTGGGAAAAATCTTGAGGTCAGAGACAGTTCTGATCTGTCTCAAACACGTGTTATGAGTTACCTGCACTTGAAAGAACTTGAATAAACTGAGTCCATATGTGCCTTGAAGAGTGTTTTATAGGTGTTGTACTAGAAATTCTCATCCATTAACACTTATTTTACAGATTTGCATATACTTTCCAAGGCACTAGTGGATCAGTCAAAGCAGTAGTGGATCAGTCAACCTCAGAAGCAAGATTGGTTTTGATATTTCGCATAAGGAAATAATTATTGCCTATTGCCTTCCGCTCTAATGGAGTCTGATTTTTTAGGAAGTACCTCCCAAAAAAAAGGATTACAAAGCCTTATTTTTTTTCTCTGAAACTAACCCAAAAGGTAGACTCACTTCTCAGACTTTTGTAGAATGAGATTAATTCTGTATATAGAGCAACCTTGAATTCTATGTAAAAATGCAAATGAAATGAAAAAAAATCACATGCAGTATAAAATTAAATAAGCAGAATGAAGTTTAGCAACTGATCGAGGAGTAATGGACATTGGCTGTAGCATCAAAAATATGACTGTTCCAAGTGTGAGTGGGGCAATTATAAATATTATGACATTGCTTTGAGTGTTCAGAAAGTCTGTAAAGCCAGTCAGCTGGGAAGCTAGGGTGCTTACTTTGTAAAGAATGCTTTAAATTACACCCTGTAAGGTAAAAACTATGTGAGTGAGGACTCTGCCAAACAGATTACTTGGTTGTTTTAAATATTTTTAACAATTATATAATACATTCTGTTCTAATATAGCTGCACCAAAACAAATTACTCGTGCATCTTAGTTTTTGACAGTCCTTTTATTTCAGTGCTTTGCTGATTAATACTGGCATTTTTCTGGTGTTTTTTATAGACTTTAAATATTTAATCATTTTCTGAAATCCTTTGGTACAGTGTTGAGGGCAGTCAGAATCACAGCATCATTCTTACTGGAAGGAATGTGGGATTTGAAAGGCTAAATTTTCTGTTCAAAGCAGAGTCACTGTTGAACTTCAATGTGGTTGCTTAGGGCTTAGTCCAGTTGGCTCTTGAAAGACTCTAAGAATAGAGATTAAACAACCTCTTTGAGCAGTCTTTTCCAAAGTTTGACTGTTGTAATAGGGATTTTTTTTCTTTCTTTGCTTTCTTGTACTCAGTAAGAACCTCTCCTGTTTCAGTTTGCCTGTTGTCTCTCCTCTTGCTGGGCACCTCCACGATTCCTTGTAGGTATTGGAGGGCTCCTCTTGGGTCTCCACTCAGCCTTTTCTCCTGGCTGAACAAGCCAGGGTACATACACCCCATCTGCTCCTCCAGGCCTGCCCTCCTGAATTCAAGGCTCTGTACGTTGCTCCGTGCCTTTAGTTCTGATCTCTATAGCCAGTGCTCCCGTTAATTACCATACCCCCAGGCAGTTTTTCCTGATCTGTGAGCAGCCTATCCAGTGGTGCATCACTCTCATTCACTCCTCTAGCTCTCCTGTTAAGAAGTTATCCTCCAGAAACCTCTGAGGCAGCTTTTACTCTGCTGTGTTAACTTTATAAGTAATTAACATCCACCTTAAGGTGGAGGTCTTTGATTCCTGCTCTTGCTTCAGTTCTCTTGATAAAACTTCCCTTGATTCTTTCCCAATTTTTTTTGTACTTCTCTTAGCTTCTTCCTGTAAGCTTCTGTTGGGTAAATAAAAATAGGTTTTGCCTGAATATAGTTGAGATACAGTCATAACTTTATGGAGTTGTTTTGACCTTGGATTGTTTGAGTTCTGTAACTCAGAGTTCTGTAACTCCTTCTTAACTTTGAGTTGCTATATTTGATTGGTAAATGTGAACAGCAGCTAATGGAACAGCAGTTCATTTGTGTTTCTGGCTGCCCTTGGTATGGTAGACAAAACCCCAACAGAAAAGCAGTAGTTTCCAGCATACGAGAATATCACATCCGTAACTTTTTAGTGGGTAAATTTGATCTTTCTGCTTTATTTAAATAGCTCGACCATGATTTGAAGCACGCCCACGAACTGCGCCAGGCTGCTTTCAAGCTCTATGCCTCCTTGGGAGCAAATGATGAAGATATCCGAAAAAAGGTGAGCCTGTGAAAATGTTAGCACTTGGACAAAGATGTAACTGAAAGTTAGACTGCAAGGCAGTGCAAGAATTTGCACCCTTCCAGCCTGTTTTTTTGGATTTTTTTCCGTTGTGATGTAGATAGGTTGAAACAAGAAGGCTCTATACCTATTATGTTAATATAAACTTTTCAAATTGCACTTTCTTTGCATGGGATTTGAACAAGAGTTACTGCTTTGGTGTAACATAATAGAGAAGTAAACTTTATTATGTCTTCACATTGATGAACGGTGTAGATTCTCCCAGTATATTCTTTCAACATGTTGTAGTCCTCGCTACTCTTAAGCTGTGCAGGAATATTGTTTTGGCATATGAGTAATTTTCTGAAACCTGTGTTGTAAGGAGCAGAATATACCTCTTGTCATGCATCCTATTTTAAAGCAAATGTTTTGGGTTGTTTTGGGGGGCTTGTTTTTATTATAGGTGTTTTTTTTTTTTAACCAAAAAATAAACCATAGAAAGTCCAATTATATTGGGAAATAAAGTCAAAATTTGTTCCATGATTCTGAAGTGACCAAGGGAGGGGTTTGTACTTTCATTACAAAGTGGTTGGTGTGAAGGAGAAAAACTCTGTTCAGGAAAGAAATTGGATGATTAGAGCACTCATAGTTAAAAGTTTGTGTAAAGTGGAGGGAAATTAAATAATGAATGATTAAAAAAGCAGCAGTGTTATAAATTAAGCATGGAGTTGCTATGTCAGATGTGGCAAGTTCTGGAGGGAGGACAATTTTCTGAGTTTATTTGCTGGTTAAAGGGAGGAAACAGAGTGAAGAAAGATCTGGGTGGAAGGGAGGCTGCAAAGCACAGAGCTGAAAAGGTAACTAGCAGGGAGACCGACAAGTGGGGAAACCATTCAGGATTTCCAGACTTCAAACCCATAAACTTCTCTTCCATTGCAGGCTGAACTCCTTTAGTTAATAGTGAGGATCCTTCTTTTACATATCAAAGCATTGTTTTTAATAAGTGGTGGGTGTGCACAGGACAAAGTTGATTTATTATACAAAAGCCATCTTTCATCTTCGTATTAACTCCCTTTTACCCTAGTCTTAAGTGCTTGTGCTGGCTGTGTCTAAATATGGCAGATGAACTACTGCACATTTCTTTCCAGGTGGCTCTACAACACGTCCCTAATGTGCAGTTTGTGTATATTGCGTGCACTCAAACGTGCTCTCTCTGGTTTTAATATGACATTAAGGACAATTCATATATGTGTTTGTGTGTGTATGTATAACTCTCTTTTTCCTTGATGATTTATAAAATCATTTTGAAAGTAGTGGAGCATAGATTGTAGAATTTTTTTTTCTAAATTGTGTGCAGATAAATACCACTTTCCACTTAATCTGGAAAGAGAATGTAGCTTGCTGGTTTTAGCCACAGTTTTTATGTGCAGTATTTGTTGCAGACAAAAACCCAACAATCTAGAAATGCTCATATTATTTCATTCATATAACATTAATTCCTTCTCACTCCAGATCATTGAGACCGAAAATATGATGGACCGTATTGTTAATGGCTTGTCTGAATCTAGCATCAAGGTGCGATTAGCTGCAGTCAGGTAGGAGGCTTTTCTGATTCATGCAAATACATTTGTCTTGTCAAGGTCTGATGCTCTCCTTATTAGAATTTGTCCTAATTTTTCAAAAGCTAAACCGAAGTGATTTCTACCTTTGGAAAATGTAATGAGAGATGAGGGGAGTTACCCTGCCCTAGTACAATATGTTCTTTTTGCTATTTACAGTCTACTACTTAGTAAATTCTAAGCTGACTCTTTGTGTAGAAGTGTATATGTTACAATAGTGTACATGTGAGCATGTAGTTTCACAGTGACAGTTTCTTTTCTGTGACAGGTGTTTGCACAGTTTATCCCGTTCTGTACAGCAGCTCAGGACAAGTTTTCAGGATCATGCTGTATGGAAACCTTTAATGAAGGTAAGTAAAGCGAAGTCAAGTCTCACAAGTGTTCTGTTCCGTTGAAGCAGGATATGGTGGCTGTGCAATTTGCATGCCTTTCTGTAGAATCATAATGGAAATTACCTAGAAGTCAACAAAAGCCAAGCGGCAGCGGAGAGGACTGAGGTTCATTCTTGATTTTTGTTTCCTTTTTTGCATGATCAGTGAGTGAGGCAGTTATCCCTAAGGTTTGTTTACATAGGACACTGGGAGTATATCTCCTTTAATTTCAGGCTCAGACTAGGTGTCACAGTTTAAACTTGGTCTCTAAGCCCTACAAGAGAATTTACGTCTCCGTTTTCTCCTGTAATTCTCTACCTTCTAGATTTCATTGTGGATTCTAAAGCTGAAGCCAAAGAGCTCAGCAAGACCTTTAGAAAGACACATTTTAATATGATGCAATTATCCACAAGATTAAATGACACCAAAGTATGTAAAGTAGATACAATCTCTCATCCTGTAACGTGACTGTCATTAAGTGCGGGTAAATAAACCACTTTCTCAGTTTTAACATCATTTAGACCTAGACAGTGGAGAACAGACAGCGGGTACTAGCAAGAAGCCTGAAAGTTCAGGCTGTGTTAACATCCATGAGAATCACCTGAAGTCAGCTTGACTTTCTGTTCGCAAGTAAAATAGCCAGACCAGAGAAAGTGGTGTCAGTGGAAATGAACTGATGAGATTCATAACGAGACAGTTATATGAGCTGGAGGTTTAAAGCTTCACTCAAGAGCCTGGAAGGAAGTAAGGAATTATTTTGAGCAGTATTTCAGTACAAGAAAGATGCCTGTTGGGCGTACTGCTCAGTGACATTGTAGTCAGGCCTGCCTTTTCTATTCTGCTTATGTTCTAGTTCTCACAAGTTGTGGCTGTAAACAAATTTGACTCACTAGTTACACTACATTCTGTGACCATCTTATTGGTTGTAGGCCAAGAAACTTCCTCAGCCTTTTATGGCCCTAAACTATGGGCCTACTTTTTTCTACAATTTCATGATATAAGTGATGGGGAAATTATTTTTTGACAGTATACACAATACCCTTATTACACGTTAAGCATTCATCCTTGGATTGAGTGTGTGAACTGTGATACTAATCCATGGCTATCAAATTCATTAGTCTTATTGGAATGTCAAGGGAGATTTGATCATGCAAATTCTGTCCTGTCACTGTAGCGTGATAATCCATGATTCAGGACCATCACCTGAAAGGCTTTGGAGAGAATGGTTTGAATATTTTAAGTTTGATGAAAACATCAAACCTGTATAAATATAAACCACAAAACCAACAGGATTATTTGAAGAAGCGCAACTGGCATAAAAGGAGGGCCATGTGAAAAAAAACAAATGTAGGTGTCAGACTTCTATGTAAACACAGCTGCTAGCAGTTAGCAGTTAATTTTGATTTGTATTAAATAAGCTGAAGTCAGAAACTTCTATGTTCATTCCAAAATGTCAAGAATTATTCTTAATAGAAAACTAAAAGTAATATTAAATAATTATTTTCAGTCTAAATGAATAACAACTCCATAAGTCCTTTGTCTCTGCCCTGGCATGGAGAGCTGTATAAGCTGTGGAAGAATAACATCTAAAACTATAGGACTTAGATATATGTCCTGTAGCGCAAGCCGCTGTAAATGCAGTAATTGTTTATGTTTGCAGTTTGCTCACTGCTCTGAAACAAAAGGTGGTAGAGAACCACCCCTCCCTTCTCCCTTTCTTTGCTGGAGGAGCGGTTTTATCCTTCATGCCTATTTCCTCACTGAGTTTTCTCAGAACGTGCAAGGGAGATGCTCTGTTTAGGAATGACATGTATTGGGCCTGCTGGAGATACAGGCGTAACTTGTTCCAGGCTATTTGGTTTTCTGAAAGGGTGGTCATGAGGAAATTTGCCGTGTTGTGCTCCTCCTGGAGCTTCCTCTGCTTTTCTGTAAACCACGACACAGAGGTGCACTGGAGGACACAGCCTGCTCTCTGCTGAGAGAATGGCTGCAGAGCTAAATCACAGCTGCCAGCACATGTATGCTTTGCAGAGCAGGGACCTGTTCCCGCTGATTTCTTTTACATTGGACCGGAAAGCTCTCAAATCTGGCTTCTGTGAAATAACTCGGTGTTGCTCCAGTTTGTCATATAATGCGTATCATCACATGGAATTGAATGAGCGTTGTCTGGGTCTGCACTGCTAGCATCAAAGCATCTCCTAAGGTGTGGAATATAAAAGTGCAGCATAATTACAGGTACCTCATTTCAAAATGGTCCTTTCCCTATCTACTGGTTAACGGAGATTCCTTACTCTCTCCTTTGTGACTGCAGGTTTTACAGAATGCTCCGAATGAAATTCTTGTAGTAGCATCTTCCACGCTATGCAATCTTCTTCTGGAATTCTCTCCAAGTAAAGAGGTTAGTATTTATCTAGAAATAAGAGGAGACGTTGGACATAGGTTTCATCTAAATTTGAGGAAGAACTTCTTTACTGTGAGGGTGACAGAGCACTGGAACAGGCTTCCCAGGGTGGCTGTGGAGTCTTCTTCTCTGGAGACTTTCAAAACCTGCCTGGATGAAATCCTGTGTCATGTGCTATAGGCAAACCTGCTTTAGTAGGGGGATTGGACTAGATTATCTCTAGAGGTACCTTCTAACTCCAATGATTCTGTAGTAAGTTACCGTATACAGTGGTTCAGAAAGCATAAACGTGTCTTACTTGGTAGCCACCGCTTGCGAAGCATTACAGAGCTGTAATATTAGAAAGCCTGTGTCACTGATAGCTTGTGAGTAAGAAAAAAAATCTGTTCATAGTGTTGTGACAGTTAAATATGGGCAAATAGTTAAATGTAGTTTTTTAAGAAAAGTAGATGTGATGTTTTGGGTTTTTTTTCTTGTAAACCAGTATTATCTAAAAAATTCATAAGAAGAGAAACTGATGATTGGCAGTATGATTCATTGTCTTAGGGAATTACTGATGTAATCTTGAAAATCCTGGCATAGCTGAGTCTTGTGGTTTTTATTGTTCTGGAATGAACGAATCAGGATATCTCTTCTTGAGTTCTGCAATGCCTCTGTTTCACACAGATACACATACATGCAATGCTTTGTAGCAACAGAGCAGTTTTCAAGCTCCTAAATACTTCTTAATTACAGAAAAGATCTGCAAGATTGTGGTATATCTGGACTCATGCAGGGCACTTCAGATTACCTTGGTTTGATCAGTTGGTCCTGATGGGTTTTTATCATGTATGAGAGAAAATTAACTCAAATAACGCCAGGCACAGTTCACTGGCCCATGGACTTTCTTGTTCATACTTCTGGTCACAGTCAGCATAGTGTTTCCACTTCAGACTGGAATGAAATACTGAGTTTTCTGTTGGGGGACATAGTTCGTATAAAAAACACAGTTGCCAAAAGAAAATACCGCTTGTGCAAAATGCAGGAATATCTAGAAATGTGAGATTTGAAAGGACCTGTAAGTCATCTAATCTTTATATGATATATTACCTTTATTCTCTACCTAGTATTTTGAAAATTGTGTAAAACTACCAGTCATTTAAATAAATAAACCAAGCTGAAGTATTTTACCTTGTAAAAGAGCTGAGGGAAAGCTAGTTTTGGAATGTCTCCCACGTGCTGTGGCTGTGGAGAAGTGCTTAGGAGCCAGCCAGCTTGTGGCAAGATCACTGGCAGCGTACCACAGGACACAGGCACCTGGGACCACAAACTGCTGCTGCCTGGTTCTGTTACAGTTCCATTACAGTGAAATGAGCCTGTTCCTACAGAGTGCAGCCTTTTCCACCCATTTCTGTTTTCTGGTGAATTCAGCTCTTCAGCAGGTTAAAAAACCCACACAACTTCCCAGAAACTCAGATATGTTCAATTATTCACTGCTTTTGAAGCAGTAGTAACTTCTGGAAGGAAGGAACACCTTAAAACTGGAGCCGTCTAAATCACTGAATGAATCCTTTTAATGCGTGAGCTTTTCCAGTCATAGGTAAAACTAGTACTTAAAATTCAATTCAGGTTGAAAGCAGTTGTTCCAAATTTAACTTCCATTATATTAATCAGCTTAAAAGAAAAGGTGCATGTATTGATACTTTTCCTGTCATTTGAAGATGTGATACTACAAAGTTTGCATTTCACGGTGATCATCAAGAACAGTCTCTGGTTTTCTTTATTATTTTAGTTTGGTCCTGCTACTAAGCACAAAGATTAAATGTCAGGAAAGGTATTGAGTAGCTTTCATTGACCTTAACCTCTTTTAAACTGTTACATGTGTCTCACTTCATAAGCAAAAAGACATGATTGCTCAAGGAAGACTGTTTTTGGGGAACAGCCTCAAGCTGAAAGTTGTTGGGAAAATCTGTTTGCTTGTGTGAGTGCGGCAGATGTGTGTATATCACAGCACGTGTGTGTGCATATGGCTGTGTGTATACCTGTGTACGTGTACATGGATACACCTGAGAATAAAGCCATCTCAGACAGAGTGTTTCCATAAAAACCTGGCTTTTGGTGCTCACAAAGGTTGGGTATAGCTTGGTCAGTTGATGAGTGTGGACTGGATATCTTGTAAGCTCAAGAACAAACAAGACTTTCGCATTATATTTATCTTTGTATATATGTCTAATTAGTCCAAGTAGTGTTTTAAAAATTTTATTTTCCTCCCCCTATTCATTTTAGCCTATTTTAGAATCGGGAGCCATAGAACTTCTATGTAGCTTAACACAGAGTGAAAATCTTGCCTTGCGAGTGAATGGCATTTGGGCTTTAATGGTAAGTAGAATACACTGATGAAATACTGCTTGTGATTTTGCATCTTAAAAAGTTTGTGAATGTAACTTAAAGAACTTGTCAGTTGTTACTAAAAATAATGTAGCTGAAATCTGGCTTGTCTTTCCACTTAACTACAGAAGGAAAACAATATTGGCCCGGAACACTTCATCAATTAGTCCATAAAGTAAAATAAACTCTGCAGTTCTGATAGCAATTTGGTTGGCCAGGATCAATTCAGGGAAACAGTTAAGTAGTGTCAGTAGCATGCCAGGGGACAAATAAAAGCAGGTAATAACCAGGTCAGCCATAAGACTGTGGAAATATAATTCACTGTGGATCAGTTCCTCATAAATGATTACCTTTGCAAGATTAATTTTAATGAAAAGATATATACTTGCAGGTAATAGTCTACTAAAAGAGTGAAAGCCCAAGTTTAAGGTTAAAAAAAAATCAAGCAAAGAATTTCTTTCTCTTTCAGAATATGGCATTTCAAGCAGAACAGAAGATCAAATCAGACATCTTACGTGGTCTTAGTACAGAGCAGTTGTTCCAATTGCTTTCTGATTCAGATGTAAATGTTCTGATGAAAACTTTGGGACTGCTCAGGAACCTTCTATCTACTCGCCCAGTAAGTAGAGCTTTTCTTCTGAAAGCTGATCAAATGCATAGACAATACAAATTAGTTCTTAATCTTTTTTGTAAGAGAAGTTATTTTTCCATTTAAGGTTAGTATTTGATATATTGCTAGAACTGAGGGTTTTGGATTTGTTCAGATACCTGTAACGAAATGTACAAATCTGTGTAAGAAAACATTTGAAGAATTCTCTACATCTACTGAAACTTTAATTTTTATCAAATACAGAGCTAGACAGTTACATTTAATGTTCAATACCATTGCATTTAGCTTTCAGCAAAATTATTTTCCTAACAGTCTTTCTGTGAAACTTTTCCAGAACAACAATAGTAGGGTTACATTGTTGAGTCGATGTGTGGAAAGGTACATATCTTAAGGATACCTGGGTTTCTTCTTTCTTGACACCTGAAATATTTCTGTTCTTATCCAACTATATAGATAGTACTGGCTTTTTGAATTTGACTGTGGGACTGTGCACTTACAAAATGCATACGTTCATTTTACACACTGAAATAAAATGGTTTGAAAATGTAAGCCCATGAATTGTTTTTGACAGGGAGAAAGAGATATTGGTGGAGGAAAAGAAAGGGGTAATCCCCTGTGAAGAACAGAGGGAAAACATGCAGCAAACATTTGGCAAGCCAACATTTTTGTGGGGGAAAAAAACCACGAAGCCTCTACTGTGCATTTATCACGTATTCTGTTTCTACCATAAAAAGGTCACTGCAAAAAATCTTCTGATATTTGTACTCGTTGAGTCTCAATAAGCTTCATAGAAAATTAGCTCTGTCTTAATGTGAAAAGATATTTAATAATAACCAGTCATTCATTAAATTCACTCCGAGCTCCTGACAGCAGAGTCTCATTGTCACTTAAGATGTTCTTCATCTGAAACTACGTCCCAGCTTCACCTACTTTCTGTAGTATGTTTTAGTGCCAGAACCAATCATTCTCATTCTCTACCCAAACCTCACTCCAGAATAACTCATCCAGCAGCTTTCGAATGAAATCTCGTTATTAGCAATTTTAAGAAGTCTTACAAGAATATCTAATGTCTTAAAAGATTGTAGCGTACCATGTGCTGGTAATCTTTCGTGGCTGTTTGCTGTCATTCTTGAGTTTTGGCATCAGTTAATCCAGTAGATCTAGTTTAATCTTTTTCTGTTACCCCTAATGCTCAGTTTTATTTTAGTAGTTTTATTTTAGGTGGTTTTGGTCTGATCAAATGATCAAATACTTGTAAGTCTCTTGAGACAGTTTCCTAGACGATAAGTAATGTATATGTCTTCTCTGAACCCTCTCAGACTTTTGAAATGTGGCTATCGGACCTAGTCACAGTGTTCCAGTAAGAGCAGCAAATGCCAGATAAGAAACCTCAGCTTTCTTACACCTCTCTGATATGTGTACCAGAAGAGAAGCGCTTCTTTCTAGCTGCAGCATCACACTTAGAGCTTGGGTCCAGCAGCATTCAGTCTTTGGACTGGCCTCCATGCAACTGGGAAACCAGTGTCTTTTCTACAGATTGTAGTGAAATTAGAACCAAGGCCCCATGCTCTCTCAAACAAGACCAGGCTTCAAATGAAGAGGAATATTATGTTTCTGCTCTGATAAGTTCTTGTGTTTGGGAGACCTCGCTAGGAGCTAGGGTCTTTGTGCAGTGTTGCTACTCTTAGAGTAATTCAAGTAGGAATGCCTCTTACTTGTCTGGAAAGTTACACTGATTGTATTTCATCATTGCTTTTACAGCACATAGACCATATAATGAGCACTCATGGCAAGCAAATCATGCAAGCAGTGACCCTCATTCTGGAAGGGGAGCACAATATAGAAGTCAAAGAACAGGTAAACTTTTTTGTTTCATCTTGTCTTGGGAGAATAAAATTTTAGAAATGCTAAGAATGCTTACTCTACTCACTTTGTCATTTTTATTTGGGGTTATGATGTGCTCTGTATATTTTATTGAGATCTGTCAGGTTAATAACTTGAGTACCTGCAAGAATGCTCTTCTTTCTAATGGGTTATTACAAAGGTGTTTGAATTGAATTTGGAATGTTTTGTTAAACGTAGGCTTGGTAAACAGGGGGGCACTCTGTGTGAGAGCAGAAGAATTAAATCTAAGGCAATTAATTAGGTGGCAGAAAGGGAAGAGCAAAAAGCCAGTATTTCACACTGGGTTATTTACCCCTGGAGCAGTCAGTAATGAAGAATATACCATCGTCACTTGCCTTGCTGGCAGTAACGTGTTCTGCTGGGACATGTGGTTGCTTGGCTGCTCTTGGGTACCTGCAGGAGCAGGCAGCAATTAGAAGAGGAGAGGCGCTAGCACGAAAAGAGGATGCTGGTGTAGCGAAGAAATAAGTGGGGTGGAACATGTCACTTCGGCAGTGTGCAAGAGGAAAGGCAGAAGGACAAGAGGAGGTGGCCAGCAGGGAGAAGCATCCCTGGCTTGGTGGTAGCATCAAGGGACTAGGGTACAGGGGTACCTGCTGTGGGGATGCTAAAACAGAAGTAAACGGATAGATGGGCAGAATTTGGGTAGTTAACTCCTGTGACAGACAAGATGGTCCATTGGAAAACCCTGTTTCTTCCTCATACAGGGCATGTGGTGATGAAGAATAGGGGCAGTGAGAAGTTGTGGGAGATTCCAGACGATTGCTTTGGCTTAGGGTGGATATTGGTAGCAAACAACGTGGCAAATGAGTGTAAAAATACAGCTAAATCCTGACTGGTCAAAATCTTTGGTCAGTGGAGAACGGGCTCAAGGCAAACAGGCCTTCTATGGCTATTTGAGTGCAAAACTAGGAAAAAAAAATCCTCAAATACTTTTAGATAACAAGTTTAGTGATACAGTGGTTCTGAAACACCTGAGGATTAACCAGTTGTGTCTTTTGAAATAGTTCTTGAAAAAGCTCTAGTGACATGAGTGGCCTGCGTTGCAATAGAAGGTTATTTACTTTGCCAAGCCTCACAGAAGTATTTTGGAGGAGAATCATTGTGCCTGAGAAATGCTTGTGGACGGGGCCAGTGGACATGGGTTGAATATAGCATTTAGGGTTTGGTGCCTTTATTCGCAGAGCATTACCTTTGTCCCTGTGATGTGATTAGCAGCTTGTTTTCGTATCAGAATTAAGTTGTATATCCAGTACAGCCTATCTGCACACAAGGGCCCACACTTGTAGCAGGACAGTGCTTATCTCTTATCACTGACTGCCTGGCTCATCAGTATGGAATTAGCAGCTTGGAAGTAATAAATCCCTGCAACTGCTGACATGAACGAGTGCAGCTTAGACACAGGCATCACACAAGTGCTGATCATTCTCCAGTGTCCTCCTGCAGTCATCCCTGCGTGTCCAGGAAAGATGGTTGAGTTCTTCCGTGGCTCTTTGGGAATGGATTTGTAGAGCATCTCCTGGTGCCTCCTGAGGATGAGAAAAGCTGCCTGTGCAAATCTTAATGCCATGTGCTTGTAGTGCAAATGTGAGCCTAGTTGCTTCGAGGTTATTCTGTAGGATGGCTTCTCTAATCTGCAGGAAATTACCAGATATGTTAGTAGTGTGAGTTGTCTCTGCAGGTTAATTGTGTGATTAAGCTTGTTGGAGAAATTATTACTCTGCTGAATCAGCAGGTAGACCTCTGTCTTTCTTTTACCTGGCCTGCAGAACTGGATGGGTATGGGATTTTGGGTTTTTTTCCCTAGCCACTAATAAAGAATAGACTGCTTTATTTTCCCAGTATGTTTAATCTTTTCTATATGCTGCATATTTCCAGGAGAGACTTAAAATTTTACTCATTGAAATGTATTAAGGAATGTTGCTTTTTATTTTAAAATGGCAATGACTGGGTTGTTGGTTGTTTTTTGCCAGAGCTGTTCAGCCACAGCTGCTAACTCTTTGGCTTTGGCCCCAGATGTAAGCAAGCTGTTAACTCGAGATTAAAGATATTAAAACTAATTAAAGAAATTGTTTGTCACAAGTTCAAAGCTGTTGGGGAAAGTCTATAAATCATGGGATGTGTTCTGTGGCCAAATAACAGTTTTTTCTCTTTCAGACATTATGTATACTTGCCAATATAGCAGATGGAACAACAGCAAAAGAACTGATTATGACCAATGATGACATCCTGCAGAAAATCAAATACTACATGGTATGGGGAATTTCTCTTAAAGGTCTTTTGCAGGAATGAAAAGAGGGTATTTTGCATTTTGTTGTATAAATCATTCAGTATCATGCACTTAACTTTCATATACCCATCTATGTTTAAGAACTGTAGTGTGGTTCTGTGTGGCAGAGGTGTACTGAGGACTTGATTAAAAGGAAAATCCAATTTCTCATAAGAATGTTACAGTGATTTAAGCAGTATCTGTGACAAAGCTACTTGGAACACATTTCACGATCTTGGAAAAGGCCTATCTTGTAGACCTTAACAAATATTGGGAAGGAAGTGACTGAACGCTACTCATGTGCCTTATGTTATGGCACTGCCTTTGAGAGAAACTGTAGACAAGAATTAGTCCCAACTTTGCTACCTTATTACAGAGTGAATACCAAAATCTAAGTCTGGGAATTTCTAAACTTGAGTTCTGTTTTTCTATATTTAGAGTCATTCAAATGCTAAACTTCAGCTTGCTGCCATGTTCTGTATATCTAATCTCATATGGAATGAAGAAGAAGGTAAGAAAGCCTCATTATTAGTGCATATACAAGTCATTATCCTGATCAAAAGGCTAATGTTGCATACCAATAAGTACTTGCAGTGCAGTTGGATCCAAAGCATAAAGGCAGACTACATTATATGTATAATATGGAATAAATGGTCAGGAGGACACTCAGGAAGTTGTAGAGACCGGTTCTGAGGAAGGAAGAGGAGACACAAGAAGAGTGTGTCAATAAATAGGAGTTTATGAGAGTCACACAGTGGGAGGTTTCCACCTGTAGCATTTCTGTAAATTCCAAAAACAATTGGAGTGAAAAAGAATCCTAGTAAGAGAGCTTCCAGGTCTCCAGATTGTGGAAACTCATTGTTGGAAGGAACAGGTTCACTGGAGAGGATAAATGGATTAGAAAGGGGAATTGCTGTGAATAAATTTTCTCCAGCATGCATGGCTTGAAATGGGTTGGGCGGTGAGACTCCGAAACCGATTAAAGGACTTTGTGAGTGGATCCAGAAGGAATGGAGAAGGCATTTGATAAGGAGGATCATGGCGTGGAACAGAAGATAACCAGGAGGGAGCTGAAGGATGCTGTTGCACAAAAAAACACGTGTTTGTGTTCAGGGGTGAAGGAGACAGATGGAGGCAGCAGTGTGGAGCTGGAAGAAGTGGCAAGGGAAAGACTGGTGGGAGGTGGTATGTGCTGAGGAATGGTGATGCTGGGAGGAGCACTTTCTTAGACAGATGATTCACAGATTGTCAGGTTGACCATGCTGCTCTTCAGCAGCATGTTGGTTTTGCTGGTTTTGTTGTTTTTTTCCCCCCCACTGTGCAACTTATTCCACGTCTCTCCGATCATGGAACTTTGGAGCGCTGTGCTCCAGGTGGCTTTCTGCTCATTATGCTGTCATTACACAGTGCTGCAAGTCAGAATCAAAGACACACCTCCCATTAAATGTTCTCTGCATCCAAATCAAACCAACTGAAGTCGAACTTCTTACCTTAGGATAAAATGTGTTCAGATTTTTGCCTTCAGAATTTCCTTTTTTCTTAAACATGCACACAGAGCACAAAGAAAAGAAGCGAGGTCTCCCTTGGGAGGTAGCCACAGCTGAGGGAGCTTTTCCATTGATGTATTTTAACTGAACTGTATTCCGTACCTCTCCTTCAGGCTGGTTTTTGCTACCACTCCCTTCTTCTGTTCTGCAGACATTTATTTTTGGTGATATTCCCAACAATGTGATTTATTGTTGTAGGTTCACAAGAACGCCAGGATAAACTACGAGACATGGGAATAGTAGATATTCTACATAAATTGAGTCAATCATCGGATCCAAATCTGTGTGACAAGTAAGTATAAAGAGAAATCCAGAAAGAAGATTAGAGGGAAATCTTTGCTTCTTGTGAAAAAATTATCTTTTTTTTTTTTTTGCAATCTTTTTGATTATAGAACAATTCCCCAGAAAGACTGTCATTACAGTGAGTTTTATAGTGTATAAGGATATTGTCTTTAAAGAGCAAGTTTTGTATTGCTCATGAGTCATGAATTTTACTGAGGTTCTCAATAGTATAAAATACACTTAAGATCATCTAAACTAGTGGAGGATCCTCTCTGAAATGTCACCAATACACAGATGTTTGTGTAAACCTCAGACTAGTTACAAAGTTCCAGAGAATTGAAGCAATGGTAAACCATCGCATAACACCATGAATTAAAAAGATAACGCAGGATCACCACTGTTGTTCATCTGAAATTCTTTTAAAATTAGCTGAATAGTAACTTCTCACGTACCTGTTGTTACTCATATTGTAGTATCTACACAGATCATCTAGCTTCTTCACAAAAAATACTTTCTGGTAAACGAGCCTTGCTTGTCAAGACTTAAGTCTTGTAGGAGACAGATTGCTGATTCTAAGTCACTGTCCCTCCTGTTTCTGGTGGCCACCTGCTCCCACTGTTTCCCTATCCCAACTCTGCCTCTTCAGCCCTCTCCGTGAGCTGATACAACTTGTGAATGTAGCAGGAAACTTGAAAAAAAAATAAAAATCTTCCTCTGAGTTGTGTCAGAACTTGGAAAGGTCTGTCAGGTTGTGATGGCATGGTTGGGAGGTATGGGGAACAAAGGAAGAGCAGAGTGTCTCACTTTGCGTGGTAGGAATTAGCTGAAATGATGATTAAATTGTAACCCTAGACTTTTGGGAGGTGTTTTTTTCTTAACAAAAATGTTGCACAATTTTAGATTCCATAAATTCCACTGTTAACACTGGCTATTACTTCTTTGTTTTCCCCTCCCCTCACCTCATTGTATGTTTTTGGTAGGGCCTGTATTCCTGACAGGGCTAGTGTGCTTCTAGTGTGTTCCAAGTTCCAACACCTCTTTCATTTCTCAGCTCGATGACCTGCTTTTCATGCTACATCTGTATTTCAGAAAAGTAATTGCAGTTCATGACTATTGCTCTTAAGGGTTTTTTGACAAGGTGTGTTTATAATGAGGTTCGATATATGTCTTAAGCCCCACTATACTTGAAAGTTACTCAGTTCATGCTGAGCATCTAATATACGTGGTTAGATCCTCTTATTCTTAGATGCAAGGTGGATTCTTAAATTGTTACAGCCCACACAGAGAACTTCTGCACTGTGGGCTAGATTCTTCCGAACAGAAAGAGCCAGCTGCTCGGCTTCCGTCTGCTTCACTCGTTCATCCTCCCTCTCTTCCTGGCACAACGCGACCATCAAGCTGTTGATGATAAAGTCAAGCCCCATTAACTAACAGGTTGTTCCTTTATTGCAGGGCGAAGACAGCACTCCAGCAGTATCTTGCATGATCAAAGACTAATTGAATCTATGGACACCCCTCATGTCTACTTAAGGAATAGCAGGAGATATTCCTGACTCCTTATATTTGCACAAGTCACCTTGGGCTGCATTTTTCTCAGGTGCAGGGAGCTGCTTTGCAGAAACAGTTCAAATGATCAGGTCTCCAGTGCACTTGAGAATTTTCTTGAGGTAGTTTCTTTACTCAGAGGACTCCTGGGGGGTTGTTTTGGTTTTTTGGGGGTTTTTTCCTGAGCTACCTGGACTTTCGGATAGAACAATCAGTCATCATTTTCCTTTTGGGCCTACAATTTTCTGCTTTTGCTGCAGCCTGTGTGTGTGTGGATGTGTGTGAGTGTGCTTGAGAGTGTGTGTGTGCTTGAATGAATGTGTGTGGGGGTGATACCTCAATTTTGTTTTTCTTTTTTTTGTGTGTGAAAATCTTTTTCTACAGGTTTTCAAGGGTTAACCATTGTTTGCTGTACGGATACTTCAATGAATTATATACAGTTTGAATGAAATGTTATTTAAAAAAAAAAACCAAACTGTTGTATCCCATAAAGTTTATTTTGAATTTTGAACAGATGAATGTTTTTAAGTAAAATATATGCATTTCTGAACTTCAGCTTAACTTACATTATACTTCCTTTTTAAAGAGAAAAATAGAGGGAGACAGTAGACCCCAAATTATAAGCAGCACATTCTGTACTGACAGGGTCCAAGAGTTTTTCTACCACTGTACAAGGTCACCTGGTATTTTGATGACATGCTCAAATCCATGGAATGGGTCAGCTGGATTGTTCTGGGTTTCTTGGCATTTTTAGAAGAAAATCTCATACTTCAGAATTAGTATGATTGTTGACCTTTCTGGAAAGAAACAGGTGGCTCTAATATCAGCAGGCCTAAGCTCTTGATTTAGTGGCCAAGACCTTGCTCAGATAGTTGCTGAAGGATTAGCTTGGTTGGCTGGTGATAAGTATTTGCTGATCACTATTTTCAATAGAGCAAGCAGTTACGTTGCAGAAGAGACCAGAAGGAGCTGGCAAGCAGTGATTAAGGGATTGCTTTTGGTTTGCATCCTTCACCTCCAAATATAGTTAAGTGACTTACAGATGATTTCCACGAAAGATCAGCCAGGTGCATTTAAGTTGGGGAAGGGATGGGAAAACTGGGGGCTTGATTTTGGGTTTGTGGGTTTTTTAGCTCAGTAATGTTGCTACAGATTTTGTGTGTATCTGCAGATATACACACTTGCATGGATTTGAATACCTGAGTAATAAGCAATGGGATTTTAATGAATTCAGAAGCCTAGACTGTCCATAAGTTCCTGAAATTGTGCCTGTAAATGTGGAGAAGAAACTAGAGTACAAATGAAGACGACTGTGTAAGGTTAGGCTGGAATATGAGACCCCAGTCAAATAAATATGCATAGAAACAAATGAGGGCAGCAAGGAGTTCAGGGTTCTTGCTTTCTTCCCGTGTCTACTTTCTGATTTCAGTTTAGACCATAGTTTTAATAGTCAGAATCCCCAAACGCTGTATTTACATAGCACTAACAGGAACACTAAAGATTGCAGCCGATGTCTTAAACCAAATCTTTCTTTTGTTACATGGAACTTCAGGAAGGCTGCAGCAAGAAGAGAGGTCTGTAACTTTCCTAACCAATTTTGATAAGTATCTTAATGTTTTAATTCTAATCAGAAGGTCAAATTGTGATAGCCTTACTTTCTTCCAAGGTAACTACTTGTGTCAGAACATGTGACCACAGTTTGGCCTGAAATTGAATGTGCTATGTATCAGATAACTGTTATCACTTGGTTGCAAAGGAGAATATATACATTTCATGTAACTTCTTCCACTCTTGAAAGACAAATAAAAGTGAGCACCTGACACTTTTTCCCCAGGCATTGCAGTAAGTGACTGGCAGTTTTTTAATGTCCTTCTGCAAATTCTTCATGATGGATTTTGGGGCTGAACAAAAGGGAAAGTAAAAATACGTGAGAACTGGATAAATATCAGCACCTCAGAAGTGAAGTCTTATTTATAAAAGTCAGTCAAATATATTTTTGCTTAAACTGAGGCAGGTATTGTAAATGCAAAACTGTACAGCGTGCATCTGACTTCTAATTTGTGCTCTAGCTATATACGTCTAGGAGCTCAAGTTCTTGCATATCTCTTCTCATTCTCCCCCAGTTCACGTTTCTAAAAGAAAATCTGAGTTTGATTCTATAAAACTTCGGTGCCTAAAGGTGTTCAGAAAAAAGGTGAGTTAGTATCTGTGTACATGTTTTGAGGTGGTTTCCTATAATTCTACCAGAGAAACTAAAAAACAATGCTCAGACAATCTTGTTGCTGCCTGAGAACAGTTGACATTTTCCACAGATATTGATAGGACGAACTGTTGGATGAGAACATTTTTACATTCAGTTAAGCTTTGTGAATAACTTTGATGTTGCTATAGGTATGTACAAAAAGAAGAATACATACTGTAAATAAAAAGAACTTTACCAGAACATCTAAATTTTTCTCAGCTTCATGGAGAAATCTCACCTTTCTGTGCCAGCTTCTCTACAGACTGACAGTTGCTAGCTGAGATTCACAGTGGGAACGAACGTTACTGGTCAGCCAGATCTTTACCAACTTTATTTGCATAACAATCTTATGAATTAGAGGGTTGCTTGCAGAACCAAAGCAAGTTTGTCTGGACCTAATACAGGATTTCTGCTGTTCTTGGGCCATTTCTCTTCTGAAAACCGGTTGTAATTAATTTTCATAAGTATGTCCACTCCTTAGATCTGGGTCCAGTGATGGTAGCCCTTCTGTCAAAGGTTGTACGTGTCAAAACAGTGAATAGTTGTGCACAGAGTTTGGCATGCTAGTTGTCAGACAACTAGTACACTGGTTGTTCCCCGCCACCTCCAGTCCGTGTTTGGAATGGTCTCTCCCGCACAGAAAGTCAAACAAGACTTAAAGTTTCGCTGTCGTTTCAGTCACAGATTTGCATTGTAGCAATGAAGGAAGCCAAGTGACCTGCTTAAAAGCCTCTTGTGCCAGTAAGGCAATCATCTATTTATTTGAAATGTATTTTTACAGACATGAATCATTGCAGTAGGTGCTGATCCTCCATGAAACTGCTGAAGCAGTCACGTGACAGGCAGAGGAATAATTGAGGTGTTTGAGATTCTTGGAAGACTAGAAAATGAGTTTAACAGGAGTGTCTTTGGTAGTACTAAAATGTAAGCACATGGTGGGTGTAAACATGAAAAATTTCAGTGGTGGTTAAAATCATCAGGACTTTACTGGAGGCTTATTTCTACAAAAAGAAACAGCTGCTGAGGACATCCAGGGTGCAGCTGGCTCTGTCCTGTGTCTGCTGGATGCACTGCACAGCGTACCCCTGGGTTGCCAGGGGCACTAGGGGAGTTGCCAAAACCCAGATCCTCAACCAGGAAGGACCTTGACCGGCTGGAGGACCAGGCCACCAGACATCCTATGTTGTGTGACAAGACGCTGCAGCACCAATGTCTGCGCCTGGAACCCAGTGACCGCAGGCCTGGGCAGGGGCGGGGTGAGCAGCAGCCCTGCCCAAACTGGGGGTGGTGCTGGGCACAGGCGCTGTGCTCGCACGGCAAGTAAGAAAAAAAACCACCCAACCAACCCTGAAAAGTTGAGCTGCGTTTGAAGTGGGGCCAGCAGCGTCTCCCCTCTGCTCAGTGCTGGGGGGTCACGTCTGGATCCTGTGCCTTGTTTTGAACCTCAAGCTTAGGAGAAGCAGGAGAGAACTGGGGCGGGGGCTGCGCGCACTTGG